ACATCAAAATAAGAGCAATACTCATAATAGAATGACTAATAAATGCTTAAAAGAACTGAAAATTACTACATATACCAATAAGGGTGTATCTTAATTTTTTGCTGCTCAATCGGAGGGAGATGCCGAGGCTATTCGGATTTCGATTCCTGATCTAAATTCTGTGAGTGGGTTGTTGAAAAACCAATGGCTAGTACGAGTTTTTTTTTTTTTTTGAAAGGTCTGTATATTTATTTAAACCAAATTTGAATTTTTTTAATCTCATTCTATCATTATCTTTTAAAATATTTTTTAATTATAAGTTTTTTTTTTAATTTATGAATATTATCCAAACAAATTTCGTAAATTAGAAGTGTTTTAAAAAAAAAAAAATTAGCCATAGCCATTAAAATAATGATTAATAATAAAATAAAAGAATAAAGCTAAAAAGGCAACAGGCTATGGCGGCGTCGCTGTCAATATTCGAATGGTTTTCACGCCCCGGGAAAGCTGGGCGTTGACGTGAGGGAACCTAAATTAGCGCCTACTTCCCTATTAATTAATTAATTAATTAATTAACTGTTTTAATTATGTCCTTAATTTCTTACCAAATAACTTCGGCTTCAAGAATTTGATTCTTTGTCTGATTTTGGGAAATAAATTAATTAGTGAATAATTAGAGGTTGAAAATATCATATATATATATATATATATATATATATATATATATATATATATTCAATTTTTCTCATTCACATGTTAATAAATTAAAAAAATTATTTCTTTTTTCCATTTCGTATAAAATAATTAAATTTCATAACCTGTTCGAGTTGTTCATTTACCAATATGAACACAAGTCAATAGACAAACACACGTACTCTCGACGAGGTACGATATTTTATCAAATTTAAATAATTATTTTTTAAATAGGCAACAATTTTTGTTGATAATAATCGTTCCATCGATTTTCATTTAACATTCTAACAAATTTTTACTTTCAGGGTCATTTTAAAACACTTCTGAAATATCAATATTGCAATGAGGATAATTTTTAAATAATAAATAAAGTTAAATATTTAATACTAAATTATAATTTTTCATATATATATCATATTTAATATTTTATTATAAAGTAAATATCTAGATATTTATCTTTTTACCATAGATATCTTTTCATTTATTAGTATTTTCATATCTGTGTGATTTATTTATAATAAATAGAGAACTTTTACGCACATAAGCGGATTAAGCAAATATTCTCAATAAATAAATAAATAAATATATATATATATATATAACCTACTTTTTAAAAGGTTATAACACTTTTATATATATGTATTTTGCTAGTATCAAAATAACCATTATTAATGTCATGTATTTGTTTGGACCGTAATCTTATGATTAAATAAAATTAAAAATTAAAAAGAAAGGGGCTTTTCATTAAAGGAAAAAAGTGGTTTTGCTAAGTGGTGGCAACGTGGAATGATAATTAATTAAAAGTGACTAAAGCGTGTTCTTTTAATTTATGCTTTCATTTGATCTCCTTTTCAAACCATACTCCCACATAGGAATAATTTAGATTTTTTTTTTAATATATGGTCACAACCGACCATTAATTTGTTTAAAAGTTATTAAATTTCACATAATAGTAAAATGAATAAATAAATAAATATTTTCATTTTATTAAAGGGAGGTTATGGTCCTATTTTTATTACTCAAATTTATTATTATTTTTTAAAAAAGAGTTATTTTGGAATTTCACATATTTGGTTCTTGAAAATTAAAAAACCAATAAATAAACTTGTTTCATGAGAATATATTAATTTTCTTTTTATAAATAAAAACAAAATATCTAGAAATTGGGCCAAAAGGACAAATTCAAATTATAAAGGAAGTTATAAAGATTTTAAATGCATAATAATGAAACAATAAATAAATAAATAACTTAGTTCCATGAAAAAAATATATATATATATATATATATATATATTATAATAGTGCTTTTTTTTAGGTCGGAGCTTCTCTTCATAGCATAAATTTATAGTTGAGTCACGTGAATGTCAAAGACAAGGACTATGATCATTGTCTCGACTCCATTTATTGTTCCTATTACAATATATATTTATAAATTTTATCATAAATATAAAAAATTTTAAACCTAATTTTTATGGGTCGGGACTCATTTTACCTATTACATGAATGAAAATAAAAATGTCACACCACATCTCAATCTTTGCCCTCTTAAGACTAAACATACAACCTACATATTAATAATTTCTTGAACCAAGACGAAATTTTAAAACCAAATTTGCTTAATCTAAAAATAATAATTAAACGTACGATAAAATGTTTGTTTTTTTTTTTTTTGGAATTTTGCTTAAACTAAAAAAAGAAAATTGCAAGAATAATAGTAGTTTGTTCCAGCACCGTGTGGGACCCACTCCGCATGCTAAAGTCCAACGCACTCGTGATTGCGCCACAGATTCTCCATAACGGCCGAGTTGGGACCACACGCAATTTTGTTATTTTATTTTATTATTATTTTTGTGTGTAGAAAATTAAAATTGGGCCGGGCTCCAATCTGGATTGGGCCTTAGCCTGCGTCTCACGGGCCAAAGGCCCAACTAGAGAATTTCGTACCATTTTGTTTTAATATTTATAAAACTATTTATTTTCCTATTTATTTGTTGGTTGTTTTTATTTTTGAAATTATTTATTTTAAATCGTAAATAAACTAATTAAAACTAGCCATTACTATAATTTTTTTTTTTAATTATAATATCTGTATAGTGTGAGCGGGACAAAATTAGGTAAATTTGGCGTATGAGTCATTGCCACCTAGTTTAAAAATGTACATGTCAGCATTTGAGTGTGCCACCTAACCCTCCAAAATAGGAAACAAAGTACAAACAAAAAGTATTTTCTTTCTTCTATTGGTAGTTGCGTCTCTTCTTACCCTTCATTTTAGCTTCTACTTTTTGACATATTCATTTAATATTACTACGGATTAACTTAGAGATGGAGAATTAAAGATGGAACGTGTTATATCATAAAACTCAAATATCAAATATTCAAAAGTCCAAACGTATCAGTAACATCGGTTACAAAAGTTAAATATTCTTAATCTTTATAGAGTAAATTTGTAACCCTATTTTCAGGTTGGTCAGAAAAAAAAATGTTCATTCAGGAACCGACCCAAAATTTTTATTTTCCAAAAATTAAACCTAATCCAAACGAAAATATGAATGGTCAATAATTATTTTTTTTTTCAAAATTTTTTTAGAGGGCACAATGGTAATTGGATTTTTTTTATTAATAAATGTTATTGGATAAATGGATAGAGGTTTATTTTCAAATTGAAATCAGAATGTTTTTTTTTTTTTTTTTTGCTTCCCAAGAGGGCATGTTGGTAATTGGACACATTTTTAATTAATAAATGTCATTAATGGAAGAGTTTAGAGGCTTATTTTTCAAATTCAAATAATTTATTTTCAAAATATTGGTGGAGGGCATGTTGGTAATTTGGCTCTTTTTTAATTCATAAACGTCATAATGTAAAAGGTCTTATTTTTCAACTGAAAATAAATTGTTTCTTCCAAATATTTGTAGAGGGCATGTTGGTAATTGCACTCCTTTCTTTTTAAATCAATAAATTGTTTTTTCAAAATATTTGTAGAGGGCATGTTGGTAATTGAGTTTTTTTTTTTTATAATTCAAAATGCAATATTGAAATTTCTGTAACAAAATACAATATGGAAAAAGGAGGGTATTTGTGTAATTAAGACCAAACATTAATTAATTTGCAAAGCTACTTAAATTGGGCTTGAAGTAAACAAGATGGGCCTGCTTCACCGTTCCAGGCGAATATTTCGGTTATTCCACTATTATAATTTTATCACCATACCCTAATTTATTAATTGCAATAATTATTTAAAACATTTAAGTATTTAAGTAAGCTAATTACATTTAAATATTTGACATAGATTGAATTTTTTAATAAATTTTAAATAGTAGTGAGTGTAATATATAATTTATATTTGATTAAAATAATACCGTTTCATTAAGCTTAAAATATACTCATAAATTTTCTAAATTTTCAACCGTGTTTTAAAAATATCCTTCGTTTTTTTAAACTTAAAAGTATTTTTAAATATTTAAAAAGAAATAAAAAAATATAACACTTTTAAAATTAATATTAAAAAATTTAGGATAATCAAAAGTGTAGTTAGACCGTTTTTTTATTTTTTTTATTTTGATAATAAGATTTATTATTATTATTATTTGTAAAAATGAAGAGTATTAATGTTTTTTTTTTAAAAAAAAAACTATAAGCATTAAAAAAAACAGATATTTTGGTAGAATTTGTTGAAAGTTATAGTTTGAATTAAATTAATATATAAAATGTAATTATTAAAGGATATTATTTTCAGTAATTTATATAAAATGTAATGTTTATTACAATTTATGTGAATTAAATTAGGTTCAATTTTAATTTCAAAACTGAATTATTTTATTTTAGTCCTAACCTCTCAATTTTTTCTTACTATTTTTTTTTGTTATATTCTTTTTTTTTCATCTAATTTCTTATTGCACAAACCTAGTTTGTAACGTGTACTTTAAATTAATCATACGTTATACTCATACAATCCTACGTTATACTCAAAGATTTGTCGATTAAAATAGAATAAACGTAAAAGTTATAATATATATATATATTTAAAAGTTTATGAAATAAATTTAAATTTTAGTTTTTTAATTTTTTAACAATTATTTATATATAACTTTTATCCAAATTTTAAAAATATAAAAAAACATTGCTTAGATTTTAAAAGTAGATATTTTTAACCAGCTTAATTATTATTAAAAAAAATATATATTATAATTATTTTTAAATTTTTAGAGGGAAAGATTATAATGCTTATTTATTAATTTATCTATTGCAAGTAATGGCGAAGTCAGTTGACAGTCTATTATATAACTTCTTCCATTTAATTCATACCAGAAAGCAGAAAATCGGTAGTACAGGTAAAATAGGCTCGGCCGCACTGGATCACTTATTTCTTTTGAACTCAGAAGTATTTCGCTCAGAAAAACGTGATTCCATTCTCTTTTGCCATTTTCTGAATTTCAGTAAACGCGCTGTGACTCCATCTTATCGTCCTCCTGCTCCAGCCCTCCCGGCCGCGTCTCTAACCACTCTTCTTCTCTCGTTTCCATGAATCTCTCGGAGTAGCTCGTTCCGATTCATCAGTGTTACAGTACAATGCCGTCGCAATTAGCATCCAGATCGGAATCCGGTTCCGATTTGAAATCGAAATCTGAACCTACTTCGAAGTCCAGATCGCTGCCGATTGTGCCGCATGAAAAGGCTGTTTCCGGTCAAATTGCAGTGCCTCTGGCAGTTTTGGACTCTAAAATTGGGAGAGAGGATTGTTTGAGGAGATCGACGAGGCTCAGTCCATGTTCTTCTTCAGTGGATGTTCGTCGGCAGAATGTGGCTAGAAATGGCGTTAATATAGCTCGTTTTGGTTCTTCTTTGACTGATTCGAGACTTGATTTTTTAGTGAATGAGACTTGCCTGAGGAAGTCACCGAGGCTGCATCCTGGTATGGTCAGGGGAAATGGAAATGGAACTGTTAATCTACCTCTAAAAGAATGCAGGTTGTCGTTGATGGATGCTGGTAGTTTGAGAAGGTCGCCGCGATTGAACGGCTCCGGGAGTGGTAATGGAGAAATGGAGTTGTCCATAGAAACGACGTCGAAGAAGAGGAAGATCAACGATTTGAGAAGGTCTGCGACGGAAATCGCCAAGATGACGTTATTCGACTCAATTAACGGAAACGAGAGGAAGTGCGGCCTCAATCAGGTGCCAATTACTGATTTCTTCCATCACTGTTGCGTTTTTTCGTTCTGATTTTATCCTATTAAAGCAAATAAACGTACATTGTCCAAAATTAGCTGCGTTCTGTTTTCTTTTCAAAATTACTGCGTCATCTGAATGCAAAACATTAGTACAAATAGTACTCGATTTAGCTGGCCTCTGAAATTTCCTTGTGTTTGGATTTTGATTTTTAAATATAGAAGCGTTCTCTTCAACAACTGTTTCAATTTGTTCAAAGCGCAAATTTCAAGAATTCAAAATTTACTCGATTTACCGTGCATTTTTTCCTTTTCTCCTGAAACAAGTTCCTAGGAGTTTTTTTTCGAGGCTGATGATTTCATGCTTAGTAGCACAAATTTGCAATATTCTGACAACTTAACGGTTTCGAAAGGATTTATTACGAGAGTCCAAATAGCGTTTTTTGTATTGGTAGGTACTCACCGCGAAAATCGAAACTGTTATTGAAGAACTTCCTATGTATAACATTTTTTTTAAAACAAATTATTACCTTAATTGCTGTCCAATCGTGAGCGAGAGACGGGACTCTGAGTTCTTTCCGAATTTGCTTTTCTTGTTGTTGTTTCTTTTTTTTTTTTAAATGATTATAAAAAAAAATGTTAATTTGGAAAAATTCCTTCGAAACAGCGGATTCAAGATAACATCCACATTTTTTTTTCTTCCTTAAATATAGCTATTTTCCTTTCATATATTTAAATAAAATTGTATGAGATGAGATAATCTCAGCTACCATCTGACAGTTTTTGTTTTTTTGCTATTTAATTGACAAGACGATTTCAAAATTTTCTAGTTAATGTCGTCCGATCAAATGTCTTTCTTTTTTGCGTTGTTTAAAAATATGTAAATATGAGCCTATAAAAAACAAAAAGAAATTACTTTTTTTTAGAACAACACGTTTTTACATTAACTTTGAGTCTCCATATGGTGCTTGTTTCTTATATTATAGAATGATCATAAGTTTATAATTATTTACATTGGTGTGAGGCCTCTTGAAGAAGCTCAAAGCAAATACATGAGAGCTCAAAATGGACAATATCATGCTATTATGTAGAGTCGTGTTCATCTAACAAATGTTTGTGTTTGTGTTCCATTTTTCAGAAAATATTATGAAAAATACTATATTTTTTAAAACGAACTAATATAGTCTTTTTTTTTTTTTTTCTAGGTGAACTAATATACCACAATATATTTTTTAAAGTAACTATTTAATATTAAAACTGTAAACCCGTGGTAAAATATAAACATACTAACTAAACTTCTAAAAAAAAAATCAATTGTGAAAATACCCCTTAATGATCCTATACCAATTCGGGTAATGATAGCGTTTTGAGCATTTTTTTAAACTGTATTTGAGTGTCTATTAGTTCATCTTGTGGTAAGTTTTTTAGCTTCATTTTGAAAAATGTATTAATCTCACTATATATTTAAGTTTGAGTATGATATAATGAAATTAAAACTTTCATTTGAAAGAAAATGAGCCTTTTCCTTTTTATTCTGGTAATTTAACATATGAACTGCGTATGATTTGAAGTCGAATCTTCATTGATTTATTGTCTTTAGTTTATGAAAACATTGTGTTATATTACGAAGTGAAATGTTTGTTATACACCATTATAAACAATTATAGAAAGAATAGTTACTATGAGTTTAAAATTAATCGTAATTCCTCTACTCGTGTCCAAGCTCGTCTGAGAGCTAAATTTGTCTCGATTGTTTGTCTCATTTCCTCAAGTTAGCTTCCGTTGTTTCAAGAGTTTGCTGAGCTTATTGATCCCTTGTGGATCAATGTCACTAACTTTCTCTGCATCATATGAGTTTTTTACGCCACTATCTGTTAAACTAAAATTTAGGAGTAGTCGAGTAGAAAGAATGTTTGTACTTTAAAGTAAATTGTATGTTTAAATCAATGTTGGTGAAGAAAATATCAATTGCTTAATGGTGTAATCCAGCAATTTCTTTCAATTATGATTGAAAGGTATTCCGGCAATCCTCGAAGTCTGAACTTCTTGTTGATGCTGCTACTCTTACTGTATGGCCTACAAGCGTTGCGAGTTACTTTATCATCTGTTTCTTGGTGATGAGCTTTGAACGGATTTATTTTATTGATGAATTGGAAAACTGAATTTTACAGGCTGAAAAGGCTACTAGCCAATGCTTGACCAATAAGTGAGTAATGATCTACAAACTTTTTTTTGGTGTTCGTATTTTGTTCAAAGCAGCTGTGTTTAAATTCCATTTCTAATTGAATTTTGCATCTTTGTTGATAAAGAGCGGGGAAAGATGAAGTAGATAATAAGATGGAGGGAATGGAATTGAAGTTTCTCAGGAGATCTCCAAGATTTTCATCTGATCGAGTTGAACGTGAAATTAGATGTCATAAACCTTCATCAAAGAAGCTTTGCTCAAGAAAGCTTGAATCTCCTAAGGTTGACAGCTTTGATTCATTGTCATTGACAGTTGACAATGCTGAAATGGATTCATCAAGAAAACTAGAAACAGAAGAATTATCTTTCCTAAAGCAAGAAGAGTCCAACGAAGCAACGCTTTCTTTGATTTTGGAAACTTTAAATCTCACAGCAGAACTTTCTCACAAGATAGAAGCCGAATCATCGCCTTTCTCACCGTGTATAAATCAGGAAGAAGCGCCTAAACTCTTCCGTCGCAACTCTCATTTCGTCGGTGAGAAGATTTTAAGAAGGTCTCCTAGGCTTTCCTCAGACGCTAATTATAGTTCCAATGCTGATTCTTGTAATGGTTTTGGTAAGAAAATTGACAAGCCGTTAAGTAAATTTCCCAGACCTTCATTATCTTCGTGTGGAAATGAGCAATCCAGGTCAGCGGATAACCGAACGTCCATATTACGTGGGGCTGAAAATTGTACTGTCAGACATTCTTCCTCTGAACTTCTAGAGTCAGATATAGAATGTCCTGTGGAGAAAATTAGGAATTCTTCTGGTGTTAAAGAGAAAAGGAATAAAAACAAAGCGGCTTCTTTCTTTGTTGGAGATCCAGTTCCTGCTGATGAGGCTCAACAGAGATGGAAATGGCGCTATGAAATGAAGGTAGCTGTCTGTTTCTATACAATTTTCAGTTCCTTTCTTTTATATACTAATACTCATATTTCATTTGTGGAATCAGAGTTCTAAGGACTGCGTTGGTGGAGTTTATATATATATATATATATATATATATATATATATATAATATATATATTTGTTCTGTGAAAGTAATGTTATTTGATACAAGTTATTTTAATACTAATAGGTCACTTCTTTTATATGATAAAAATAATTTTGGAGATGTGTTCTTCAATTTGTTCCCATAATGCTTTTGAGATAACCATCTGTTTAATTTGAATTGCCATTTTAAGGCTTGCCTTTTGTGTTTTATCTTCCGCGTTGACTTCATAGTAGCTTCCCTGATCTGATTCATGAATCAACATATCAGATTAATTGGACAATTTACTTTATACATAGCTTCATTCCATGTGCATTGCACTACCTGTTAAATTTGTATTCCGATCATAATTGCACTACCCTTTCTGGAATATGCAGAGTCAAATTTCTAAGCGGCAGAGAATGGCAGAAAGGTGAGGCATAATTAGTTCTTAAGCCTATCCTTTTAGTGTTATTCTGATATTTGAAATCTTTTTTAGTTAAAAATTGTGTTCCAATTCAGCCAATTTTTTCCTTATTGCCATGCTTTACAGTGATGATGATGAAGATATGATTGTGCATAATGTGGAATGCCATTATACTCATGCTAGTATTGCAAATACCATTATCAGTCTGGGAGATTGTGTATATGTTAAGGTAAATGGCCTCTATTTCAATACTGTTTTTTATTATATTGTTAAGCCAAAATAAAATACTACTTTGACCATACGATATGAAAGCAGAGATGAAGGATATCACTTTTGCTCTGAACAAATTTGAAACCCTTCTCTTGAGGAGACAGGATATCTCAACATCATTCTGTTTTATTGTTGAACGTGTTGAGCATACGTGGTACGAAATATAGGTTACTTGGATAATCTATTGCCCCCAATTGAAATTGAAATTATCCTTCTAATGAGGAGAAAAAGGACATCTTTATCTTGTTCCCTTTGTTTAAATCACTCTTTCATTACTAAATCATGTTGAGCATCAGATGACAGATGTTGCATGAGGAGAGTTTTTGGATTCCTCTCAATAGTAAATTATTTTGCAGGGTGAAGCAGAAAAAAATCATGTTGGGACAATTATAGAGCTTTTCAAGACAACAGATGGGGATAATTATTTCAGAGGACAGTGGTTTTATAGAGTGGAAGATACAGTGAGTTAAATTTCCTGTTCACTCTTGTTCTCATTTTTTCAGTAGTAACTAATTATTCAACTGTTCCAAGGAGTACCTTAACGTAATTTATTTCTCAGGTTATCAAGGAAGAGGGTTCTTTTCATGACAGTAGGCGTTTATTTTATTCAACTGTTATGAATGACAACCCACTAGATTGTATTGTTTCAAAAGTAAATATCAAACGAGTAAAACCCAGGGTATGCTTGCCTCACAATCCCTGCCTTTCTAATTTGATCTTATTTGACAGTGCCATCACTATTTCTTAACTTTGTTGTAGGCATGTAAGGCCTCATCCCCTTCAGAACTAATGTGAACCTTTTGCAGGTAGGCCACAGGTCAAACTCTGCACCTTCATTTGATTTCTATTATGATATGGAATACTGTGTAGACTATTCGACTTTTCGCACCTTGAAAGATGGTGAGTGTGATTATTATTGGGCATATAATATAAATATGGTAGAATTAAGGGATGCTTCTTGATTCTTCACTTTTAACGTATACTTCTAAATTGTTGTTTAAATTTTACTCTTGGTATGCTTCAAAGTCTATGCCTCATCTTTTCTTTTTTTTTCATTTTTCTCTTAAGTTTTAGTTCAATCATTTTTTTGCCAAATTTCTTACTTTTTGTTAACTCTGGTGTCAAACCAAATTGTAAACTTTATCAAAAAGATTGAATACTCAGAGGGTTGGACAGCTGATAAGTGGAAATTCTACATGTTTTATTTTCCATTAGATGAATCCCTCAAGAACATCGACACGGCACCAACTACTGGCATGGAAACTTTTCATGAATCATCGTCATTGAACTCTTTGGAGAATATTCCCAAGAAGGATAACTTAGAATTATTGGATCTATACTCCGGATGTGGGGGTATGTCAACTGGACTATGCCTTGGTGCCAAATATTCTTCTGTTGGCCTCATTACGGTAGGCTGTCTTATGCTTAGTTTTTTCTTTCTAATATCCAGGCAGTTAAAACTTTTTCTATTTTCAAACACATTCAGCTTCATTCAATTTTAAGATTCATCCTTGTCTTAGAGATGGGCAGTTGATAGCCGCAAATCTGCATGTGAGAGCGTGAAACTGAATCATCCAGAAACACATGTGAGTATAGGTGATCGTTTATTGGATTTTTTTAGAAAATCATTCCCTTAGTTATTTGAAATATTTAAAATGTAACTTGGGTTTGTTATAGGTCAGAAATGAAACTGCTGATGATTTTCTGGGCCTATTAAGGGAGTGGGAAAAACTATGTAAGCGCTATAAGGTCAATGATGAAGAAAAAACGCGACCATCACGGTCAAAAGTGTCTGATGATAATTTGAAGTCCACCAAGGAGAAACTTCCGACTTCTGAGTATGAGGTTTCGAGCTTAGTTGACATTTGTTATGGTGATCCAACCGAAACAGGCAAGCGTGGATTAAAGTTTATGGTAAATAATTTACCTCTTTCTAGCAGAACAAATAATGAATTTGTCTGTTTTTGTTCTTCTCTACTCTGTCCTTCTGAATTTTCCTCGTTGTGTCCCTTTTTTCAGTCTTGTCAGATCTGAACCACTAGTCAACTAAATGATTTTCTAAAGAATTCTGTTTCAATAAATTATCAGAAATAATGTTTGGCAGCTGATTTTGTCAAGTAATTTGATCAAATCTGTGGTTGGATCTAAATTTTGCTACCTTAAAAAGTTATTGCTTGATATACTAATTCTAATTTCATTAGGTGCATTGGAAAGGCTATGGTTCAAGTGAGGATACATGGGAACCAGTTGAAGGTTTAAGGTCAATTCTTGTTCTTTAGTGCTTTTCTTATTTTACCCTCATTTTCCCTTTTTTTTCCCCCCTCTCATCTTTTGTCTTCTGCAGCAACTGCCAAGAAGCAATTAAGGATTTTGTGAAAAGAGGTTTGAGACAGAAAATTTTGCCACTTCCTGTAAGTGACTAGTCCTGTTCACTTTGTAAGCAGGTTATTATATTTGAGTTCTTCAATTGACTCTAACGAATAAGTTATATGTCAGGGAGATGTTGATGTTATTTGTGGTGGTCCTCCTTGCCAAGGAATCAGTGGCTATAATCGTTATAGAAACATCGACTCTCCTATGGACGATGAACGAAATCGCCAGATAGTTATCTTCATGGATATAGTGAAATTCTTACGGCCTAAATTTGTATTGATGGAAAATGTGACTGACATTTTGAGATTCAATCAAGCTTCTCTGGGAAGATATGCAATGAGTCGTTTGGTACATATGAATTACCAAGCAAGACTTGGTACAATAGCTGCTGGATGTTTCGGTCTTCCACAGTTTCGGTTGCGTGTCTTCCTTTGGGGTGCTCATCCTAATGAGGTGAACTTCATCAATCCTTCCATTCTGATCTTTGTAAAGGTCTCTTTCTTATAAAACTTCATTCTTTTCATTAAGTTTTTCATCTTTCATGTATAGAAACTACCTCAATTTCCACTTCCAACGCATGAAGTAATTGTTAGATATTGGCCCCCACCAGAGTTTGAGGTAACTTTAGTTTGAGCTAGTGAATTTATTTTAATCTTATATTTATATTAACGTATTTGGTCTATATTTGCAGCGAAACACTGTTGCATATGATGAAGGCCAACCCCGTGAACTTGAAAAAGCCGTTCTTCTTCAAGATGCCATCTCTGACCTCCCAGCAGTACTTGCACTGTTTTGGACTTGAAATTCTCATCTTTAATCATCTAACAGAACGGAACATTTTATGTACAATTTTGTTAAAATCTGCAGGTATTGAATTCTGAGTCTCGGGAAAAGATGCCATATGAAAAGCCTCCAGAAACAGAATTTCAAAGATACATAAGATCATCTCAATATGGTGAGATTTCATGTATTGCAAATAATTATGTCATGCCTTTTCCTCCTTGTAATTTGCTTCGGAAATGTTAATGTTAATGAATTAATGAAACAACAAAAAGATGCATGCAAAAATAATGAGTCCACTCATGACTAAGTTCTGATTCTCTTTCTCTTTTCTATTTTCACAGAGATGACAGGCTGCGAAGCAAACAATACAGGTACAGATTCACTATATGACCATCAGCCATACTTGTTAGGCGAAGACGACTACTTGCGAGTTTGTAACATTCCAAAGAGAAAGGTTGTTTAATAATTTTCTTACAGTTGGATTCATCATTAAGATATTGTCCTTACATTATGATTATGTACAGGGGGCAAATTTCAGGGATCTTCCTGGTGTAATTGTGGGAAATGACAATGTTGTTCGGCGAGATCCAGAAAACAATGTATTACTACCATCAGGAAAACCAATGGTTAGTGCTCTAAATTTCTTTATGAAATTCCTTGAGCGTTTTGGAGTTTATTTCCTTCATGTTTTGTCAAATAAGTTCAATTTGATGAACTCAAAACTTGAGTAAGTGGTGAAATTAATAAATTTTCAAAACTAATTAAGAAAGTGATTCTTATGCACTGAATAAATTACACAAAATTTAACCAACAAAAAGTCTAGAACATAAAAGTTGTATTTTGACTTGATGAACAGGTAGTAAACCGAAATTTTGTATTGATTGAAATAAAACTTAATAATTGTCGCCTTCATGTTTTGCTTTCTAAAAAAATTTCAGGTACCACACTATGCTTTCACTTTTGAACAAGGAAAGTCTAGAAGGTTTGTTATCTTTCATTTAAGTAGCTGTCTCGTTGTTCCTTTAGATCATCTCTATCTGAAGTGTATCATATTCTGGTTGTGCAGACCATTTGGAAGGTTGTGGTGGGATGAGACAGTGCCCACAGTAGTGACTTTCCCAAGTTATCACAGCCAGGTTTCTTCTTCTCCTAATTACCATTTGTCTTCTTGTTTCCTGTTTCTTCTTTCTGATGATTGCTTCTACTCCTCATTTACCAAAAGTCTCCAAATAAAATTTCCAAGAAAAGAGAAAACGGCGATGGAAAATCCGTTGCAAATTGGATCGTTGAGATATATACTTTTGTAAACACTTCGATTATTGAGATTAGTTGCTATCCGTAGAAGAATTTCTTCTCTTCAAACCACGTAAATCTTTGTCTCTATGTTTAATTTCTGTTTGTGGGTGTATAAGTACAATTGATTTTGCTCCCCGCTTTTGGTACAACAAAATGATTACCAAACAACATACTAGATTATAAATTTTTTAAAGAAACAATCAGCAACTTTACATTAAAAATAAAATTTAAAAGAGGTGCACCAGTGTCTAGAGTTTTTAAATCTTGTGATTTGTGGGATTTTTGTGTTTAAGTGTTTTGTAATTTATATTACAGGTAGCATTACACCCGGAACAAGATCGAGTACTGACCATAAGAGAATATGCAAGATTGCAAGGGTTCCCTGACTATTATAGATTCTTTGGGACTGTCAAAGAGAGGTCAGCATCCTTCTCTCTGCATTTTGGAAATGCTTTCTTACTCTCAGCCAAATTTCTAAATCTTTCTTTCTTTTGTATAATTGATTAGAAAAACAACAATCTTTTAGTTCGTTTTTGTTACTGAAAATGACAAATTCAAACGTTTTAGGGTTTAGGGTTTAGGGTTTTGAAGCATAGTAGAAACAAAATGGTTATCAAATGGACCCTGAAATATATAGTCGGTTATGAATATTAACGCTGCAGATATCGTCAAGTTGGGAACGCGGTTGCTGTATCGGTTTCGCGGGCGTTGGGTTATTCCCTTGGATTGGCAGTGAGAAGAGTGGGCGGTGATGAACCATTGATGATACTTCCTCCCAAATTCTCTCTTTCTAACTACATTCAATTCCAAAAACCACCTGAAAAGAAGGATACTGATTAGCATCATTTGATCTCTACCTGTTCTGTGGTTGTTTAGCTTTTGATACTCTGAAAGTGTAAACTTCACTTTCATTGGTGTTTGTATTCTTGTTAGAGCACACCCACACTTGATCTCAAACCTTACTACTACTAGTAGTAGTAGAAGAATGTAATTCCCATTTTTGTTTCATGTTCTCCCTAACCCTTTAGAGGCGTATGTTTCGGCGATATTCTCAAATCTCGAGATGGGTTTGAGATTCCTATGTTTATTGGGCAGGAACGTAAGATATTGAACTTCTATTTATTTCGTATCGTAGGAATGTTAAATTTCTTTATTTATTTGGTTGGAATGCAGGGAACCCTTGTGTGTTCATTTATTTGTCTCACATTTATTAGCCCAACATTGGAAGAAATACGAGTATTTTTTAAATAAACTAACAATTGTTCAACTTGTTTATCGATAGAAAATCCGTTCACCTCTTTCTCGGGTAGATTCATCCACTTTTTTACTTGAAATGAAATGTTGCTTCAAAAATATTTTCCCATTATCTAGTAGTTCAGGACATCTCTCTTTTAAGGAGGTTGCGGGGATATTCCCGAAACTCATAAAGAAAAAAGGAAGTGAATTAGACAAAAAGAGAAGAAACTTGGACAAAAAAAAAACAAAGCGCGGAAAGATAATATTTCTCTTAGTTGTCCATAGCAAAAAAAAAAAAAAAAAAAATTTATTTGTAATTTCAGAAATATTAATTGAAATTTGAAAATAAAATATAAAGGTGCATTTTATAATAATTTGATTTTTGGTTTTTTAAAATTATGTATATAATATTAAGGTTAGTTTTATAAGAATTTAACTTTTTTTTGTTTTTTATCTATATTTTCAAGCACCCAATCAAAATTTATATATATATATATATGACAAAAACAAAGAAACAAAGGAAAAAAGAACACAGTATCGTGCGTGGCTTCTTCTTCTTAGAACTCCCTGACCTCGAGGTTTTGAATAGGGTTTATGAATTCAGAACTCCAACAGCATCCATAGCTTCATTCCAATGGCTACTGCATTTCTTGTCCGAAGAACTTCGACGAAATTCCTCTTCCAACCTCGCTTCCATTCTTCTTCCTCTTCTTCAGCTTCTCCATTTCTTCCAAACCTCTGTTCTTCTCTTTTCCGAGATTCCAATTTCTCTAATCATGCAATCTCTGTCCCTTCATACTCCAGAAGTTTCGTCTCAGCTCCTGAAAGTTCTCTTGCTACTGCTCTCGGTACTGATACTCGTGTTCCCGCCACTGTGATCACTGGCTTTCTCGGCTCTGGAAAGGTTCTATTTCTTTGAATCTTCTTATTTTGGCTAGTTTTACGTGTGATTTTTGAGATGAAATTCAACTTTGGTAATTGTTTGAGTCGTTGCTGATTCTTCTGTTTGCGGATGCTTCGTCGGTTGCCATTTCGATATCAATGCGTAGCGATTGATTTTCACTATGATACAGATTCTTTTTCACCATAATATGGTTCTTTGTTCTTGACGGAAATGTTTATTGGTCTAGTTTCGATGAGTTTTCTTTGTTGATGTAAAAACGAAGGAAGAAGTGAAGTCTGTGCTTGTGACTTGCTTACTTTTGTTGTTATTTTTTTTTAGACGACTCTCCTCAATCATATTTTGACATCTCAACATGGCAAGCGGATTGCTGTCATTGAAAATGAGGTATGCACCATACTTTTCAGAGATGGCACTATTTCACTTGAGAAATACTTCGGTCTCAAAGGGTTTTGGCCTGCTTAACAACCTCGCTTATGCTCTATTACTTTAAACCGTGATCACTGTTTGCAGTTTGGTGAGGTGGATATTGATGGATCTTTGGTTGCCAGTCACTCCTCCGTAGCTGAAGACATTGTTATGGTTAATAATGGATGCCTTTGCTGCACTGTGCGAGGTGATCTAGTTAAGATGCTCTTGGAGCTGGCCAAGAATAAACGAGACAAGTTTGATCATATTGTTATTGAAACCACAGGTATATTCTTCAAGTTTACTTAGCCATTTTGTTTTTTAGTAGAAAGATACATTTGTGTTTATTGCGTATGAACTGGTACTTGATCCTTCTTCCATTCACTTACGTTGTAGCCAGAACCCTCTTATTTAATCTTCAATGAAAAGAAAATATTTAATTCCAACTGGTTGCTTGTAAGGTGTAAGTGTTATTTCAATGAGTAGGTATTATGAGAGGTTTGATGAAGTAGTAGTTCAAAGATACTCAAACTTATTAATGGGAATTCAAACAACATAACAATCTGATCTTTGTGGATACCTCTGGGAAATTATTATGTGCTGCATTTAAGAAGTGCCATGGTTGCATTAGACGAGCTGTTTGCGGGAGAAAGGAAAACAGGTCTAGAACTATTAGAAGGCTTTAGTCAAGTGCCTTGAAAGTAAAATTATAGGTGAATAGTAAAAACCAAAGAAAGGGAATCCCATTACATGAGTCTGTAATTATAACTTTGAACATCATCAGAATAGTTTCTAAAGGAGTCCTTTATGTCTCTTGATAAAATTTATACTAAAAAAGAATGATGAAACACCGCACCATACATTTTTTGTTTGCCTGATTCGTTGATAATTTTTTTTGTTCTTTGTTAAAGTTGTAAATTTGGTTATAGCCACTTCAACGATATTTCTAGCCCTTTCCTTTAATGGAAGTTCACATAGATGGGCAATGACGATAAATTGTTGGTAGTGATGGTTGGAACTTGGAATTATTGATGCAGGCCTTGCTAAGCCAGCTCCTGTTATAGAAACGTTTTGTACAGATGAGCTGGTTTCACGTTATGTCAAATTAGATGGAGTTGTAACTTTAGTTGACTCCAAGCATGCCATGCAACACTTGAATGAAGTGAAACCAAGATTTGTAGTGAATGAGGCTGTAGAACAAGTTGCTTATGCTGATCGGATTATAATGAACAAGGTGATAAATTATTGTTCTGGACATTGTGCCTTGGGCTTAACTTATCTTTCAACTCTTAAGTTATTTTCCATACTAAAGGAATCCAACTATGAACCAACTTCATCTTTTAACCCAAAGTTATTCTGTCCACACCATATTGGCAGATTGATCTTGTAAGTCCAGATGAATTGGAGGAACTGACACTGAAGATTAAGGTAATCATTGCATTCATTTTCTTGATTTGTGATCATTGGTGAATATGTACGATTAAATATGATCAAGAGGGAGATAAAACTGATGTTTTTAGGTTCATGTTGATGATACATTGTTGGTTCGAAAGACCACGTAAAATGCATTTTATGCTCTTCTTTACCCTAACTGATTCATAATTTGTAGATTATATATGTTACATCTATCTTGCAGCGAATAAATGCGATGGCCCAACTCAAGCGTGCTAAGTTTGGAGATGTTGATGTTGACTTCGTATTAGGAGTGGGTGGATATGATCTTGACAGGTCACATAATCTGGCTGCATCAGTATTTTCTTGTCTTTTACATATTGTTCCCCTTGTTTAAAGCATTATGACATCCAATCTTTATAAATATTATGAACCTTGTGTATGTTGTGCAGAATTGATTCTCAAGTTGAAGCTAACACCCACAAACATGAAACTAAACATGGTATTTTTGCCCTCTTGAACATTTTTCAAAACAAGTAGTTCGTATATGACCATTAGCTATTTTTAAAAGTACTTTGTGATTTGAATATGTTACATTTTTAAATTACCCCAAATAATGCATAATTTAATTACTTGGCTAATTTTACAGAGCACAAGGGACATGATCATCACCATCATCACCATGACCATGTACATGACTCTGCTGTGTCTAGTGTTAGTATTGTTTCTGAGGGATTACTTGACCTTGATGAGGTAATAATGGTCCTATACTATGTTTTATGTCTTTGGCATTTCACTTCTCTAAATGGACTTTGAAGTGTTCTTAGCATTTCTAAAACATTTTTTTTTAACTACAGAACCAAACACCATGAAATTTTGAAGAGTGTTTACTCTTTAGTTAGCTAAAGTTCACCATTTCTGCAATTATATCGAACTCGTCTTCATTGAACTATGTTTTCTATAATCCATTGACGCTAAATGGTGCGGATTTTAGTTCTTACAATGCTTGAAGTGCACCCCGTAGGTTGACGATTGGCTCGAACGATTGATCGAGGAGAAAGGAGAGGACTTGTATAGAATGAAAGGAGTGTTGAGTGTAAAGGGTTATGAGCAGCGTTATGTCTTTCAGGTATTTCATTTCTTCTTCATTTTGAATGTTCTTATAACTGTGTATTTTAAAAATCAAGGAATAAGCCATGCTTAGCTTACATTTCCATATTGTTTTATATTGGTTTTGAAAAGATAGTAAAAGTAACACTTGTCGGATCGGATCTTGTTCAAGTAAGGTCGTAGTAGTAAAAGTAATACTTTCTCAAAACCAAATTAGAAAATTAATCGTGAGCCAACTGATAAGTCATATGAACAAAATACCTGAAATCAATTCGGGTTTATTCAAGTTTAGAGTTCTTATTTGTGATATCCCACGTTGGTTGGGGAAGAGAACGAAATACCCTTTATAAGGGTGTGAAAACATTTCCCTAGCATACACGTTTTAAATCCTTGAGGGGAAGCCAAAAAAGGGAGAGTCCAAAGAGGACAATATCTGCTAGCGGTAGACTTGGGCTGTTACTTGAAAGTCGATAACGTGCGAGTTTAGAGTAAAAAATGAAAATATAAGTAACTAAATCAATGGTTGTTATTGGTATTTCATATTCCAGGGAGTGCACTCTATCTTGGATGGCTGCCCAGGCAAAGAATGGGGCCCCGATGAAAAGAGGGTAAACAAGTTGGTATTCATAGGGAAGAATTTGGACGAAACTGCCCTTAGAAAAGGCTTTAAAGGTTGTTTAATGTGAGAAGAAGCTGGTACACCATCAGGTTCTAATTTGGTAATTTACAAGCCCTTTCCCTTATTATTTGAACAAATTATATAATTCTTGTATGTATGTACATTTTACTTTGCATTTTGCACGCTAATTATAGCAAATTTTTGTTTCTTTTAAAAAAAACAAAGTATTGTTACTTTAGGCTACATAGGGACATTCATTTTTGACGTTATACGACTTACTTTTTTAGAATACGATATTGTAAGTGTTAAGACGAGGATTTTGACCTTTAGTTTAAAGGCTAAAGCTCGCTTGCATGCTTTTTTTTTATAGAGAGAGAGTACGGGGGCAGAGCGTACTAAGCCCTCGGCTTCTTGATCTTCTCCTTCCTTTCACTCTTTTACTCTCCTGTAAAGACGAAAGTGCAAGAAATGGGGAAACATGGTGGGTGAGACAATAGAAGAAGTACAAGTTGTGGAGATGATACTCGAAAATCTGGTGGTATATTTTTTTTACAATATGATGATATTTTCAATCGTGATCTTATTCTTGATAAGACTAAAGAATTGATGTGGTTAGTTCATAAGATTTTTTTTTTCAAATATATATATTTTTTGAAGCGATTAGAAGTTTGGAACGGATCATATATGAATTGAACATAGTAGTATATTTACACTCCCCATCTCTATCCTTGACCCGTTCTCTGTTTCGGGAATCCCTGTGTTTTTGTTTTTGTTAAAAGGTAATTACTTTTATATTATTATTATAAGTAATTATAATATATATTATATGTTTTAAAAAAAATCAAACTCGAATATTATCTCGGTTTGACCCCATACCAAGTCAAGGGTTAAATGGGGGATTTTCCGAAGGGACTCGACCTCACAAGTATTTTTATTATCCCGAATGAATAGGATATGATACTAATTGAAAATTTTTTATTTTATAATCTTTATTTCATGTAATAGATAAATTAATCTTACTAATTTTTTTTTTTTTTAATTTAAGTGCACCGTCGAAAAAATCATCCATATATTATGGTTTTTATGGAAAATTTTTCTTTTTTTGATTAATTTAAAGTTAATATAAATTAATTTAAAATGGGAACATTTTTTACTGAAACATATATTAATTTAAAATTAAAAATAAATAAATAAAAGAACTGAGAACGAAAGTTTTGTTTGAATCCAATCGGGCCTCTCGTTTGGAGGAGAGAATATCAATCGTCAATATTCTCTCTCTCTCTCTCTCTCTCTCTCTCCCGATTTTCCGTTTCACATTCGAAGTTCGAAGTGCTTCGTTCCGCAGGCAGGGCCTCCGACAGGAAAAAATGCTTTTCTCCAACGCGAATTTCTTCGTTTGCTCTACCATTCCGATTGCGATTCTTCCACTTTCATCTGGATATGTAATTTCTTGAAGTTTCTTCCTCGATTTCTATGGCGTTCTCTTGTATATTACTTCGTTTGATCTTTTTCCTCAGGTATTCTTCCTCTGTTTCTATCTGTAGTTTGCGTGTTTCAGGATTTCGCACCGGAAGTTTCATTTCAGTTTCGATTCTAGTTCAATGATCGGGTTTATGGCGTTTAGAAATCTCGGCGAGTTCGAGTAATCACGAGAGTAGCAATGACTCGACTGATTTCGACGTTCTGTTTCCTCGCGATTAGCCTGATCTTCTTGATCAAGTATGGTTTCGACCACTTCTGTTTCTCTTTTTTACTTCTCGGAGCCGATTTCTTTACTGTCACTTCAATGCTGTGTATATCTCTTGTGTCATTTTAGCAGGTAGCTTCTTCAATTAACTTCGCTTAGCCTTTTTCATGTTTTTTTTCACATTGCATTTAGCTTTGATAAGAACTGTCATGTTCGGATTTCGTCTGTCAAACAAACTACAGGCGAAGAAAGCAACTGAAGCGGCGTTAAGCGATAACGAACAGTTGATCGTAAGGTTTGAGAACATTTTGATTTCTTTGGAAGGGGAGAAGCCTTTATAGATTCATAAAACAGTGTGAAATGAAGTTTCTGATCAAAGCAATTCTGCTTTAGGAAAATTTCCAACTGTTGGACTTGAATCAGATCCAGGTTCTCTTCCTCTTGTTGATTTGCTGCATTTTTGTTGCGCATCAGTACCATCTCAATTTTCTTCCAAGCCTCTCTACTAATTTGTTTTGCCTGTTACAGATCATATAACCTTATGTATCAGGTGATGGTGAAGGAGGAATTGAAATGACTGAAAGCATGCAATTGATTCGCTAATTTTGTGAGACTGCTTCATTGATCCACTGAAAGCCACTCGGACCACAGTAATGTCCTACTACATTATCCTTCTATTCTTACACAAAATAAGATGTTGGCGTTCAGATTTTCGGTAGAATTTATCTCTGTTGGGAACTAAGATGCATAATAGGTGAAAACCTCTCGTCTTTTAGATGTTTTTCTCTAAAATTTCATCCGCCTTAAGATCATAACCTACTAAGATCTGTCCCTTTTTTCCCCTTCTTATCAGTACTGAAAACAGCTCCTGTTCTTTAAATTAAGAATCACAAACACTTCAATGGATAAAACAATTGTCACTCCAAACAGTTCGATCTTAAAGTAACAATAATGAAAAAGTAAAATTAGGCTACAAGAACTTCATTATTTCTACTATTATTGAAATAACAACCAGATTCTCTTTTAAAAATTATAGGATTGAATCTCCAATAACTCATCTTTCAGAACTTTGATATTATTAATATTTTATAGTTTATGTTATATGACTGAATCTTAATAGGTGAAAGACTATCCACCATTTTTCCACCTAAAGCTAGCGGCTGTTATGAAGAATCTCTTCCCTAAGATGGAAAACTGTATGTTACATTAACAGCTTCAAGGGACAAAGAGGAGTTCTTTTCAGGCTTTTTCCAGTTTATAGCTTTAAAATCCTGCCATTGCGATGCTTCTATTTGTTAATAAACATTCAAATTTTCTGTTCATGTAGGTGTTGCCCGGGTCCTTGGGAAGCCCTTACAAATGTGAGGCTGAAGGAAGTCGCTTTCAACATTCTTCCATCATCTTCGGCGTACGTACTGTTCTTTTTTCTTTTCTTTTCTTTTCTATTTATAAAAATTAAGCTTATTGATGACTACTTTAAAGAAAAAAATAGTTCTCAGAATTTGTTGGATTTTCAAAAATATTACCTTAAAACAAAAACAAAAACAAAAACAAAAATAAAAATATTTTTTAAAAATGGTTTCAGAACTGGTGATGAAAATTGAGGTTAGTATATATTTGGTCCCTAGACACTACAAATCTTTTGACTTTTACTCCTGTTTCTATTGTGACAAATTTGAATTGTTTTAAAATAATAAGTTTATATTTTATGTATAATAAAATAGTTAAATTTTAATTTTACAACCCGTGTATTTCTTTTGATTCTTTAAAACTTTAAAACTAAATTTATAATTATGAAAGTTAAAAGAAACAAATAAGTTTTGGTCTTACTGGATAACTATTTAGTTTTTGAGTTTGTGAAAATTAAGTTTATAAATACTATTTTCTATCTTAAAAAAATTTGGCTTTTGATATTTGGTTGATAATTTAAATGTTTTGTTAAAAAAAAAAAAACAAAAAAACAAAACAAAACTTTGTAATGATGAGAAAACAATCATAATTTTTTTAAAAAAATTCAAGTAGTTATCAAATAGTCTAATAAGTTCATACTTTACAAACCTATATTTAAAATTAGATATTTAGATGAATCTAAACATACTTTAATTAGTTTTAGACATTTATAAATTTGACAAATTCTCACTCCATACTGCTTAATATATATATATATTAAAATCCTTAGTCTCATGCCGTTGAACTTCAGTATGAAAAATTACAGTCATAAAATGACAGGTATTAAATGGGTGTTTGATTTATTGAGTACTGTTCAATGAAGAACCCATTTATCTGGATATTTATTGAGAGATCTGCTTCGGTTTTTGCAGGTCTATCTAGTTGGTAGATATTATTGTTGATTCCAATCCCCTGTTCTCCGGCGTCATTGCCTCCTTTTCTGGTAAATATTACATACCTTTTCTGTCACTGAAATCAACACCAAAACTCACACCTGATCTCATCTGCCTATTTTCCATAGTTAACACAAATCTATTGAAGGCTAACAAGCTCTTAATCATTCAAATTCATTCAAGAACTTAAAAACATCAAAATGATAATCAAATTAAACTTCATGTACTCCTGCACGTAATTACAAACCCACGAGCTGTTAAAAAGATCATTATTTGTTCCATATTGCTAATAATCAATTCCCCTCCAAGAAATGCAGTGCAAAAAATAAAACAAAATAATAATGAAATAAGAAAATATTACTAGGTGGAACTTCTAGTTACAGGCAATACCAAAAAAGCTTGAAGAGTGGTACTGAGAAAACAACACCATTTATACACTAAAATAGAAAGAGTTCTTTTTTTTTTTTCTCTTTTTAGCCTAAGGCACATCCCAGGAGGAGGGCAGAATTGAACATGAAATGACCTGTCAAAAATATCTCAGAAGTGAAAAGGAAGAAGAAAAAAATGGTATTGATTCATGATTAAACCACTCCAAAAGGCCACTAAGGTATGGATGGTAATCCAAATCCAGACCACTGATGTTGCTATAAACCCTTTATGTAGAAAGGTTAGAAGGACAAAGCAGTTGCCATATTTCCTTTTTAATCTTCTTTTGTTTTCTTTTTCTCTTTCAAATATATGGGTTTTGGAACAACGAACGCTATATATGTGGAGCTTCTGGGGCAAGATAAGAATGCAATTTGGGTATTGAGAAGAAAAGTACCAAAAAAAAAAAAAAAAAGGGGGG